ATATAAAAATAAATAAAAAAGAAGTCTCAGACTGGGGACATGAGAACAGCTGGTGGAGAGGTTTAATAAAAATATGTACATCAGATTCCTTTATTTAATTCTTAGAGCCTCAGCTTAAGTGCAGGCAAAATGCCCTCTAACTAGGAGATTGAAGATGCCTCTTTTTGGAAATTGACTGATTTTAATAGTAGAAAGTCAATCAAAACATACAAAGTTGAGAATTCAGTAATATTATTAGCACATTATAGGGAGAGATATGATACAATCATGTGTTTTTTCTTTAAAAAAAAAAAACAAGATCTATATTGATTTAAAATTGTATACATGTATAACTTTGAAAAAAAGAAGTATTTAATTATAGAATAGGAAAGGAGGAAAAAAGAAATTTCATAAAATTATGAGAAGTATTTAACTATAAAAAATAGTAGAAGTAGAGAAAAAAGAACAAGAAGGAAGAATAGAAAGGAAATGGAAAGATTCATCAACAAAGGGGGAAAAAAGAAAGTGGGTGGTTCTGGCAGAACAGAGGCGGGAAAGCTGTCCCCAGACAGGCGAGGCTCAGGCAGGCGCTGCAGTGCAGCAAGTGAAGCTGCAGCTAGGGTCGCTGCGTCCTGTGCTGGAGTGCTGGTGCAAACATCAGCTCCTCCTCTCCTGATCCAGCTTCCCGCTAATAAACCCGGGAGGCAGCAGATGATGGCTTATGTGTTTAGGTTCCTTCTACCCAAATAGGAGACATAGTTGTAGCTCCTGGCTCCTAACTTCAGCTGGCCCAACCCTGGCTATTGGGGGAATGAACCAATGAATGGACAATCTCTTTTTCTCTATCTCTAGTCCTGTCTTTCAAGTAGATGAAAATAAACAAACATTTCAAGAAAATAAATTGCTTTAGTTATATGCAGAGCAAGATGCTGATCAAACAGACTTGCTGTGACTGATGATGTAACGCTGAAGAGTGATTCAGAGAAAACAGACTCCTCGACTACCAGTTAAGGAACCCAACACAACTCTCCTTGTGTGCAAAGAAACCCAAGTGTAAAGTAAAGGCGAGGGACCCAGGTTAGACCACAGCCCCTGTGGAAACGATGGGGCTTCTAGCCAAGCCTGGGCATAAGCAGATCATGGGTTCTGTGGCCTCCAGAACAGCTTATGTGATGGAATCAAGAAGCCCAGGATTTTCCACTGGCCTCGTCAGACTACTTTGGCTGAATTTATTCAGTTAATCCTTAAATAGGAGATCAAACAAATTCAGAGGGAAGTCAGTACAGCAAAGAAACTGACATCATTTCTCTGAGGAACTACTACACAGACTTGCGGGCACTATCTCCAGAGAGCATGCAGGAGTGGCCATGAGTGTTAAGAAGAGGAAGGGATACTGGGGATGCACGCTTACAGAGAACAGTGAGGACACAGCGAGGAGGCAGACATCTGCAAGGCAAGGAGAGGCTCCGGAGGAAAGAAAGCTGCTGGAGATTTAATCGGACTTCTAGCTTCCAGAGCCGTGGGAAAGCGCACTTCTCTTGTTTAAGCTGCTCACCCTGTAGTATTTTATTATAGTAAGTAGCCCTGGTAAACTAGGTGGTCCATACTCTAAGTCAGTACCAAAATTAGCAAGGAGAGGGAAAAAAGAAAACCCTAAAACATTACTGCCAACTCTTTTCCATTCTTTCTGTATACACACATGAAAAAGGTTTGAGAGAATGGTCTTCGTCTAGGGGGAAAGGGGATGGGAGGGGATGGGAGGGGATTAATCACTTTCTTTTTGAAAGTCACACTGACTTAATTAAAAGCTTTCCAAGATCAGGTAAATGATACAGTTAAGGCCAAAGATCATTTCTCAGCTAATCAATCTAGGACGCACAGGGGCTGGAGAGTTAATCCAGAATGACCTCCAGCTAGAACATCTCTTTCATTCCGTAGACCGCTGCCATCCCATAGGCTGTGCTTCAGAGGTAACTGCTTCACTTACGCTTTCAAATACTAGAACAGGAAAAGCCTTTTCCCAACTTGTTGGCAACCAGACCACAGCAACTGGATAGTTAAGCTGAAAATGGACTTCACCAGGTTTTGAAAGGCAGATGTTTAACAATACTGTTAATTCAGCAACAGGCAAAGTTGAAAGCTTCCCCTAAACTCTGAGCAATAGGCAGATTTGTGTAATACACTTGGCACAGTGCTCTATTATTTTCCTAATGGCCATTTTCCAGTTTGAAGTCACGAATCACCTGGAGCAGCTGGCTGCACTGAGCCGTCTCTAAACATAAAGGACAGCCATTTTTCTCCCCAGCAGGTAATGCTCACTGAGCCCGTGAAGACACTGTTATCAAGAATGAAGAACGGTCCATGCTGTTTGGAAGTTCAGATGGCTTAGATCCAAATTTATGGGAAGTACAGGCTCTTCTCAGAATATATCTAGAGTAAATGCAGAAACACCTCTCATTTTTTTTGACATCTGGGCTCGGCAAAGCTCCAGGGAACATACCTATCCATCAACAAAGAACGCCATCACCAGGGAGGTTAACATCACCAGGGAGGCCAGAGGACAAGAGGAGGCCCTAACAACTGTTTGTAGAGTAATGAGCAGGAACATAGAGATGGATAATGAAAGAAAAGCACATAAAAGAAGACAGAAATATTTCAGGTGTGAAACAGGAAGAGAGAGGAAATAAAAAAAACACAAAGATCCATGAGGCCTACCAAAAGTTTCAGGAGGAAAAAAATTTAAGCACTGTTTATATCAGAATAGGGTATCTTTGAGAGACAGTTAAAATCTGGCTTCTAATTTTAAAATTTTTATTTATGTATTTATTTTATTTAAAAGACGGGCAGAGAGAGAGAGAGAGAGAAACTCCTATCCATTGGTTCACTCCCCAAATGCCTGCAACAGCCAGGGGTAGACCAGACCCAATTTAGGAACTGGGAACTCATTCTGGGCCTCTTACATGAGTGGCAGGGACCCAAGTACTTGAGCCATTAACTGTTGCCTCCCAGGGTGCACATTTGCAGGAAGCTGCAAATGAGCAGAGCCTCAGGATTTTAACAGAGTCAGTCTGATATGGGGTGTGGGTATTCACAATCAAATACTTGACCCTAATTTTTATTTTAAAATTTCCTTTGGTCACTTTCTGACAAACTGATCAGCACAGTTCTGGCCTTTGCAGCCAGTTGGGGAGTGGGCCAGCGGATGGAAGACCTCTCTCTCTCTCTCTCTCTCTCTCTCTGCATAACTCTAACTTTCAAATAGATAAATACATCTTAAAAAAAAAGAGAGAGAGAAATATCTTCCTGTGTTGTTACAGATGTGTGATCTCAGGGCACAGCACACACCAAAAGTCAATAGAGCCACAACAGAAGGGTTCACTCTGTGGCGACACTCACCTGCTTCTGGATCTGCAGGGATTCTCCACATGTACAGGTTGAAGTCATCAGAGCCTGAGAGGATATACTGTTGGGACAAATATACTCTTATTATTACTTTTATACTGAGGACATAATTATCCAATTATATATGATAACTGTATATAACACAAACATATACAGACTTACATATGTAGCCATGCAGAGAGACATACAAAGAAACAGATAAACAAGACAGATGGGCATATACATATAAGGGACACCACAGAGCAAATATCTGCTAAAAATACAACCAAAATTTGTTGAGTTGGATAAAACTCAAAAAAAAATAACCAAATTGAAAAATGAGCAAAAGACTTGAACAGACGTTTCCCAAAAGAAGACATATAAATAGTCAAAAAGTACAGGGAAAACAATTCGATATCACTAATAATTAGAGAAGTGTAAATTAAAACCACAATGAAATGTCACTTCACACGTATCAGGATGGCTACTGCCAAAGAACACAAACAAGCATTGGTGAGGATGTGGAGAAAACGGAGCTCTGTGCACTGCTGGTAGGAATGTACCAGCCCTGTGTAGTCCCCGTGGAAAACTCGTCTGACGCCCTCTGATCCAGCAATTCCGATCCTAGGGTATACATCCAAGAACTGAAAGCACAGACTCTAAAACTCAGCAATACACCCACGTTTACTACAGTATTGTTCGTAAGGACCACAAATACAAATGTCCATCAACACAAAATGTGATAACACATACACTGGAATATTATTCAGTCTTTAAAGGAAAGAAACCCTGCCATATGTTTGTTACAACATGGAAGAACCTAAGGACATTATACAGAGTATACGTAAGAGTATACGTACTCCTACACTACGTAAGAGTAGTGAAATTCATAGAGGCAGAAAGTAGAACAGTGGCTGTGGGAGGCTCGGGAGAAAGGAGGATGGAGTTATTATTCATTGAGTTCAAATTTGATGAAAAAGTACTAGAGATAGATGGTGGTTGTGAATGTCCTTAATGCCACTCAGTTGTAATTTTTTTTTTTTTAATTTAGAGTGGAAAGTAAGAACTAGGGGCTTCTCAGACACCTTCACACAAGGCTAAGCATCCTCAACTTCCTGCTGCCAACTCTCATCTTTGAGCAGGAAACCACTGCCAACCCAGCCACGAGCTAGTGCCAAGGACATAAGCAATCTTCCTTTATGTGGCGACTTCAAATTGCTTGATCTCTAAAGGGAGGACACGAAGCCAGATCTACTCTTAATTTGGACTCATAAAAGCACTGTCTAACACCATCTAACAGCAACAAGTGAACACACTAAGAGCTCATTGATTTCTGAAGATTAACAAAAGTGTTTTACTTTAAATTGAGGTCAGGATTACTCCCTTTTTGTTCCATCTGCTTATTTTCCTACAAAAAGAAAAGCCTACACTTCCAAAAAATTTAACTTGAAAATGATACTATGAACAATTCTAAAAAAGTGTTAAGTCCAGCATACCTACAATCTCATGCCTAACATCCAAAAGGTTCGTGGAAAATGTGTATTATGAAAAAAAATACAAATGGATTTCAAAACATTTTTGTACCAAAATCAACTTATCTTTTAAAAAAATCTATTTATTTATTTGAAAGGCAGAGTTACGGGGTGGGGGTGGGGGAATAGAGAGACAGAGAGAAATCTTCTCTTGGTTCACTCCCTAAATGGCCGTGATGGTTAGAAATGGGCCAATCCAAAGCCAGGAGCCAGAAGCTTCATCTGGGTCTCCAACATATGTGCAGAGGCCCAAGGATTTAGGCCATCCTCCGCTGCCTTCTTAGGCACAGCAGCAGGGAGATGGACTGGAAGTGGGGGCAGTCGGGACTTGAATCTGTGCCCATATGGGATTCCATATGGAATGGCAGCTTCAACCATACACCACAGCACCAGCCCCTAAACTTGTCTTTTAGTTCGATTTTTCTAAGGATTGTGAGTGCCCTTATATTTTACTAAATACTTTGCAAGTCTTTCAAAAATCAGCTTAGTTCAAATCACTTGGAACAGGAGGAAAGAGGCAAAGGCAGGCAGATATAGAAGTAAAGCAAATGCTCTCCCTAAGGGCGAGGTGACTGCCCAGGGCACAGTGGAAAAAGCAGCAGGCTCAGTTTCTCATCTGCAGAATGAGAACTAGACTGGTTCTTCCAGGAGGCTTATTTAATATTATTCAACTACTCCATGAAGGAACGGGTGGGAGCCAAATCAGACCTGAGCGTCCCTATGCTGCCAGCCTAAGTGACCTGAAAAATGACTACACAGAATGCTCAAGACAAGGACATTTATTCATCTCATTCCTGTTACAATTCAAATATAAACTTTCCTTAACAGTAGCGACAGAAACCAACCTAGCAGTACCTAGAGTAGTCAGAGCACAGAAATAATCTAGAACCTGGTTGTCAGGGCTTGCAAGGCGAAGCAACAAGGAGTTATTATGTAGTGATACAGAATTTGAGTCTGAAATGTTGAGAAGGTGCTGGAAATGGATGCTGGCAATAATGGCTGCACAACAAAGTGAACATAGACCACTGTTCGTCTTTACACTTCAGGAATGTTTCTTAAAAATTCTCCCTCTTTGTCCTGACTTTAGAGGCCCCCCTGTCACTTCCTGGAGCCCACGAAAGATACTCTGGCTAAAGTTACGCAGCTCGTATTCAGGAGCCCAAGCCTGTTTCACAAAATAACCCACAGGGTTATGGGGAAAGGCTTATTCATTACACACTGATGGAGAACTTACATGTCAGGCACTCGGTGCTTACAGAGATGTGGAAGGTAAAACCTGGGTTTCCCAAGAAGCATACATCTATTAGAAAATACAACACAGGTACCAGTCTGTGAAGTCGAAATTGCTAGGTGTCTTCATGAGAAATAAGGCGGCTAGTGATTCACAGACACATCAAGATTTGAGCACTGAGCCAACCTTAAGGAAAGATGTGGTTTAAAAGGTGAAGGGATGGAAGGCACAAAAGCCAAACAGTGGCATTCACGGAGTCTACAACACAGCAGAAACAGGAAGCACGGCGCAGCTTTCTCTTTGGTGTTCTGCCCGTGTTCCTCAGGCCTCACTGCTTTGGGGATGCTTTGCCTGATCTCCAGCTGCCAGTGTCCACATGTTTGCCTGCAGGCTGCTCTGGGAGTGAACCCACCACAGGAGCAGCCCTCAACCAAGGACTGGAGGGATTGCTACATCAGTATCCATGTTTCCTCCTCCCCAGAACAGTAACTCAGATGTGTATCCTCCATATCCTTTCCCCACCCTACAGGATCAAACTCTATCACCTGAGGCCGAAGCCAGCTCCTCCATCACTCTCCTCTCTCCCCCTCACTTCTCTCCTCCTCTGCTATTGTTTTCTGCATTTCTGAATCAACTACTTGAATGCAAAGTAAGACAAAGAGGGAGGGGGACAGATCAAATGTACAATCTACAATTTGTTTCTTCCTCAATGGCTCATCACGCTTTGCATTTACAAGAGGCTATCGACTTCATGGAGAATGCCCGAGACATGCCTGCTCCCCTCCCACCTCTACAAGCTCAACAAACAAAAATACATATTAAAAAAGAGCACTCCCGCAGCCGAGCTTCTCAGAGGTTTCACTCATTGTGAAGGATCAGTGCTTCCCAACTTGCTCAGCTGTGCGCTGGGGCGAAGACATGAAAAAGGAAAAGGAGACTCCGCGCAGAATGCTGACTCAGAGCCTGCCTTAGAAGGAAGAAAACTCCGGAGTCCAGCCCACTGGAATGGATGGGACAGCTGGTAACTATGCAGAACATGCGTAGAATGCAAGCCTTCCTCTAGGGCAGGCCTAAGGGCCACTCCTGCTCTCTTTCTCTTAGAACTGCTCTTCCACGCCCTGACAAGGGAGCAGCCCCGGGGGATTGCCAAGGAGAGGGGTCCTGACCCACTGACGTCTAGCCAGCTGTTTTTAAGTATTCACACACACCGGAACCACAGAGCACCTCTAAGGAATTCATTTATGGCATTTCATTTCATGCTTGTCTGCTGGACCTCGTCCAACATTAAAATCTGGCTGCCTGGGACACTGCTGACTTTGAGACTGAAATAAAAAGGAGTTCATTCTTTATTCATTAAACAAATATTTACTGAATGTCTGCTAAGAGGCGGGCAGTGTTCCAGGGAAGGGAATGCAGAGCTGACCAAGAAACTGTCCTTGTCCTCACGAAGCTTACATTCCACATGGTGGGAAAAGAAATTAGATGCATATGAGGTACTTTAAAAAAAATGGGACCGGAGTTATGGTGCAGCAGGTAGAGCCGCTGCTATGATGCTGGCTTCCCATATGGGCGCCAGCTTGAGTTCCGGCTGCTCCACTTCTGGGTCCAGCTCCCTGTCAGTGGCATGGGGAAAGCAGCAGAAGATGGCCCAAATGTTTGGGTTCCTGTTACCCACGTGGGAGACCCAGATGAAGCTCCTGGTTCCTGGTTTCAGCCTGGCCCAGTCCCAGCTATTGTGGCCATCTGGGGAGTGAAACCAGCAGATGAAAGATCTTTCTGTCATTCTGCCTTTCAAGTAAATGAATCTTAAAATAAAATAAAATAAAGTTTGTGGATAAATAGAATCGAAGGTTAAGTTTATTTTGGTGTAAAAAATTTTTTGAAATCCATAGTTTTTTCAATAATGCATACTTTCTATGACTTTTAAAAAATGTCACATATGCATAGATTTAAAATTTTCTTTGTACCAAAATAATCCTTTAATTCTACTTATTCCAATGTTCTGAAGTTCCTGAGGGTCAAAAAGTTTAAAAAAGAAAGTTTGTGTGTGTGTGTGTGTGTGTGTGTGTATGTACCTAGTGATGGTAAGTGCTAAAGAAAATAATGAAACAGTAGGTTAGGGCATACACAGAGTACTGGTGAGGGAGGGCCAATGGTTGGTTTCTGCTTTTGATACGGTGGTCAGAGAAGGCCCCTCTGATGAAATGGCATTTTGAGCAAAGTCCAGGAGGAAATGAAGGAGCAGGTTATGCGGATGTCCGGGAAAAAGGTGTTCCAGAAGGGAGAACAGAGTGCTGTGCTATTTGAAAATACAAGGTAGCTATTAACTTCCTTTGTCTTCTTCCTCTTTTTAAGATTTATTTATTTATTTGAAAGTCAGAGTTACATAGAGAGAGGAGAGGGAGAGGGAGAGAGAGAGAGAGGTCTTCCATCTGCTGGTTCACTCCCCAAATGGCCCCAGTGGCCAGGGCTGGGCCAGGCCTTTGCCAGGAGCCAGGGGCTTCCTCTGCATCTCCTACATAGGTGGTAGGGGTCCAAGCTCTTGTGCCATCCTCCACTGCCCTTCCCAGGCCATTAGCAGAGAGCTGGATCAGAAGTGTAGCAGTCAGGACTGCAGACCATCACCCAAATGGAATGCCAGCACCGCAGGAGGTGGCTTAACCTGCTGCCCCCTTTTAAGGCTATGTGGAAACAGAGACTAGTTCAAGTGGGTTGGGTCCAAGGATACACTTGAGATTATCAGAGCAGTTGGAAAGATTCTTCTAAACCTCTGTTGCAGGGGCTGGTTTTCTGGCACAGTGAGTTAAGCTGCTGCCTGTGATGCCTGTATCATTTATCAGAGCACTAGTTTGGGTCCCAGCTGCTCCACTTCCCAGCCAACTCCCTGCTAATACACCTGGGAAAGCAGCAAAAGATGGCCCATGTACTTGGGCCTCTGCCACCGGGTACAGAAGGCTCTGATGGAGTTCTAAGCTCCCAGCTTCAGCCTAGCCCAGTTCCAGCTGTTGCAGCCATTGGAGAGTGGGCCTCTGTATGGGAGATCTCTGTCACCCTTTCAAATAAAATAAAATAAAAAATAAATAAATCTTATAAATAAATAAAGCTGTATTGCCAGAGTCACTGCCTCCTGGACTTGGGCAGGATGGTGAGTTATCAAGAGGACCAGCAGGACACTGCAAGTCTTGGTGGGCCAATCACAAATATTTGCTGCAGGATCCAAGGAAAAATCAACAAAAAACACCAGAGACCAAAAGGCCAATGCCAATAAAACCAAATAGACCCAAAATGTATAATAATTTATGAAACACAATTATTTGAATTTACCATAAAATTGAACTTTAACTCAAGTAGTGAAACTAGAAGCGTAGGTTTCTCTCTCTCTCTCTCTTTTCCTTTCTACCTCGATATATCTAGTTTCAAATAGCATCTGTGCATTCCTGCCCAGCGATTCTGGTGTTTTGGGAATGGAGCTGACTGGGGGCCTCTGGCTATGAATAGGCAAGCTACAGAAACAACAGAAAAAATGGTTACCACAAATACCTCTGCTTAACATGTCTCATTTCCTTTTGTGAGGTAGGACTTCAGGACCAGCATTCACATTTAAAACTCCACTGGTGGTTGGGCATTTGGCCTAGCTATGAAGACAAGGTTGGGCACCTGGGTCCCTTATTAGCGTGCCTGGGTTTTAGTTCCAGCTCTGTTCTGAGTCCAGCTTCCTGTGAATGTGCACCCTGGGAGGCAGCAGGTGATGGCTCAAGTACTTGGGTCCCTGCCACTACTGTGGGAGACAAATGCCCAGCCCGAGCCACTGTGGGCATTTGGGGAGTAAACTAGTGGATGGAAGTGTGTGTTCTCTTTCTCTCAAATAAGTAAATAAATAAGAAAAAAAAAAGCACCACTTTGAAAAAAACTTAAGCTTACTCCTCAGTTTTAGAAAGGCAGAAACAAGATAAGGTAGAGGTTATTTTGTGGCCAAGAAAGGACATGAATATGAAGAATTCATTGCCTTTTATAAGTTTTTATTTTGCCTCGTTCTAAATAGTCAGCAGAGTAAACCACAAACTAAAAACTCACTTCATGTGAGTCTTTACCTTGTATCCTTCTAAGGAGAGTCGGGAAGGACTCAGGACTCCAAAGGAGGGAAAAGAATGTTTTAAGTACTCTGTTATCTAAGCAACAAGGCCCCATTTCCCAAAATGCTGAGTTGAAGGGGAAGTAGAATAAGACACATAGACTACTGCAGATCAGAGAGTGGAACTTAATTTGTTTGTTTTTTAAGAGAGATGATAGCATTGCAAAAATGAGCATGAGTTGTTCCATAATTCTTCTCAACTGTCCACAAGGGTTAACAGCTGGCCACAGTCAGACCCATGCCTCTGTTTATTCATACTGGGGTAAAAGGGCAACCCGTATATGACCTGAACGCAGCCCAGACACAGTGCATGGCAGGACTGTATCTAACCTGCTCAAAGTATGGAGGCATTAACTTGCTCGAGGATGAGGACAGATCAGCAACTGCTCTTTCTCAACACAGAAGGAATCCCACCGTGACTGCCACCTCTAACACTGAAGAAAAGAGCACAATAGTGCTCTGCCATGGTCTCATTTGCCAACATTTCCTGTGTCCCTTCATTAACCTTTACAGAAAACAAGCCACTTACATTATACTCCATATTCTCTGGTACTACTACAATGCCCAGCAACCCCGCCAAGAAATTCTGCCCTCTTTTCCATCTCTTAAATTACACATATTCTCTAAAAAAATCTTTTTCTATTTATAAGATGTTTTGCTAGCCGAATACCCAGAGATGGCCATGCCTTTAAATAGTCCTCCCTTGTAGAGTCACCCAAGTCTTAAGAAATTTTTAGTGACTTGAAGTTTCAAAAAAAGGATCTAAACATGGCTGGCCGCAGCAAAACTTTCATGGAAATAGAAACTTCATGGAAAAAAATAGAAACTTTCATGGAAAAAATCATTTAATACCTTTACTTAAATCTTAATGGTTAAACAAATTAAAGAAAGGACTGATTTGGAATCAGATAACTCGCAGCCATTTATCTTCTAAGATCTAATAGGGTTTCAAATATAAATATAAACAAAAAATGTCCCATCCCCAAAAAGCCAAGTTAAAAAGAAGAAAAAGTTCTGGAAAGCAGAAAGACAAGCCATCCACATGAAATAATCCAAGAATAACCCAGCATCTGCCTGGGCCCTTTGCTAACAGAAAAACCTCTCACGGCTTTCTCAACAGAGTGTGTGTGTGCAGGTCCCGCACAGCATTTGATTCCCCAACATCTGCTGATGGAGAAGGAAACACATCAATCAGTGGCTATTCACTGAGTACTGATCAACTTACACAGCTCTTTCCAAAGGCTGCTTCCATGGTAATTGATTAATTTTATTCTCCAGTAAATGGCGATGCCTGTCTAATTAACTGTATTGACTAGGACAGAGAAACCAGAAGGCTCTCTAGCCATCAGCAACAGCAGAGAGACTGCCATTTTAACACTCAAGTCAAACACCGCTCTCATTCTCCGCTCCCCATCTCATGTCAGAAGGGAAGACAACACGACTGAACCACCTTGTGGTCTGCTCTCCAGAAAGACGCTTGCTAATCGGCATATAATACACTTTTGATCATCTCATTTACACTCTGCCTGCCACGAATACCATTCAAAGCAGTTACAGCACATGTTCTTTGCAAAAGGACTTATTTATGGTAGGAGAAATAGAATTCCATTGGCTTCCAATACAAGCATACAAATATGCATGGCCCTAGATTAAATTATTCCTATTTGTGCATGTGAGGTCACAATATTCTTGTTTCTTTTGCCCATTTACCATTTCAGCTCCATTAGGATCTGAGAATCCTTTAATAACCAATCTTTAGTGTTTAAGTAGGAAAATTCTATTAATAAAAATATTCATAAAAGCAGCTAATAAGTCAAATAACCAGTAGCAAAGAAATTTTGTCCAGCAGCTGCCTGTAACAAAGTACCTGTATTACTTAAAGATGAATCTTTATTTGGCAAAACCTTTTGGAAGCCTATGCAAAATAGGTGGCCACCAACCAAAAGGCGTCCATCATTCAATCTCCCCTTTCTGAGCCTTGCTCATTGTATGTGAGAATTGGGAAGAGGGCAGAAGGCATTGCTCCCTGCAGTCCACAGGTGAGTATGTTTGTAAGCTTTCAGTCAAGCAAAGCTCCAAACAGTCTGAGGGGTGAACACGAGCTTCCTTTTTCTCTAAAATTGGAAGACACCCGCACAGGGGAACAGTTGGGGCCGGCACTGAGGAGCAATATGTGTAAGCCTCCACTTGCTGTGCCAGCATCTGATCTTTCTCTCTGCTTTTTAAATAAATAAATCTTAAAAAAAAAAAAAAAAAAAAAAAAAAAAGCCAGAGTTACTGAAAGTTAAATGTCTAAGGAGGCCAATAGGGCAGGTAAGGTAGGAAAGGTTATATTCTGGTCCTTTTCATTGCTATCTACCTGGGATTCCCTAATGGGGCCCAGATTCCCAGGCAGGAACTATGCATTCAAGGATAACTGTCATATCATGTCAACAGATCACATCAATCCCACTTGTTCCTAAGAAGAAATCTAGGTTGTCTAGTGTTCTTTTACAGCTCCACAATTATCAACCAGACCAAATATAGAAGTCCTACTCGCAGACACTGCAAAACCTGTTAATTTTTCTAAGTTCTAAACAGCATCAGTAAATGGACTCAAAGATGATCTTAACCCTGGATTGGTAATACCTGAATTTCTAGGTTTCAGGAGTCCCATAAATCCCTTATCATTTTATACAAAATTATGTGGCTATGTGCATTTTTTAAAGATTTATTTATATATTTGAAAGGATGACAGACAGAGAGATCTTCCACCTGTTGGTTCACTCCCCAAAGGCCAAAATGGCCAGGACTATCCAGGTGGAAGCCAGTAGCCTGGAACTTCATTCAGCTCCCCCATGTGGATAGCAGGGGTCCAAGTACTTGGGCCATCTTTTGCTGCTTCCTAGGTATCAGAAAGGAGCTGGATCAGAAGTGGAGCAGCGGAGATTCACTGCATCTGATGTGGGATGCTGGCTTTGCAAATGGTTGTTTAAATCCACTGTGTCACAATGCCAGTCCCAAATGCATTTTTCTGAGATGAGTATGCATAGCTTTTAGATTTTCGGAGGTCTAGGATTCACAAAGAGTTTAAAATGGCTGATTTAATGAGGTATTTTTAGTCTACCTTCTCTTTATAAAATAAAAATCTCCTAAAATTTTGCATACAAGGAATTCCTCCACCACACATCTACATTTAGCTCTTCCTCATCAGTCTGTGGAAGACCATAGCATCATGACTCAGTTCCTGTACCACAGGTGGCAGTGTGACTATGAGGAAGAGGGTGCCATTGGAAGAAAGAGACTAAGTCCTGTCTTGGTTCAGCTAACAACTCAATCTGTAATTTCAAACTACTGTGGGCTTCAGTTTCACACGGTGATGAAATCTGCTCAACTACATACAACCAAAGTCACTGGGAGCATTCAGGTATGACAGTGGATAGCAAAATGCTTCTGAAGTTAAAGGACCAGGGCTGGCGCTGTGGCATAGCGGATAAAGCCACTGCCTGCAGTGCTGGCATCCCATATGGGTGCTGATTTGAGACCCAGCTGCTCCACTTCCAATCCAGCTCTCTGCTACAGCCTGGGAAAGCAGTAGATGATGGCCCAAACCCTTGGCCCCTGCACCCGTGTGGCAGACCCAGAGGAATCTCTTGGCTTCTCTTTATAACTCTGACTTTCAAATAAATAAATATATCTTAAAAAAAAAAAAAAAAGAAAAGAAAAGAAAAGAAAATACATCAGAGAGGGGCTGGCGCTGTGGTTCACTTGGTTAATCCTCTGCCTGCGGTGCCAGCATCCCATATGGCCACCGGGTTCTAGTCCCGGTTACTCCTCTTCCAGTCCAGCTCTCTGCTGTGGCCCAGGAAGGCAGTGGAGGATGGCCCAAGTGCTTGGGTGCCTGCACCCGCATGGGAGACCAGGAGAAGCACCTGGCTCCTGGCTTGGATCAGTGTAGCTCGGGCCGTGGCAGCCATTTGGGGGGTGAACCAACAGAAGGAAGACCTTTCTCTCTGTCCCTCTGTCTCTGTCAAATAAAAAAAAAAAAAGAAAAGAAAAGAAAATACATCAGAGAATTAAAAAAAAAAAGTTTTTAAAGGACCAAAGTTTTAAGATATAAAAGAAAGGCAAGGAGACAACTCCCTCTGCCCAACCAAAAAAAAACAATAACCACAACAACAACAACAAAAACCAGTAACAACAAAGTATGGAATCCAAGAATCCAAGAGAGCTGAATATTCCTCCCATTAAAAGTGTACCTGGCCGGCGCCGCGGCTCACTAGGCTAATCCTCTGCCTAGCGGCGCCGGCACACCGGGTTCTAGTCCCGGTCGGGGCGCCGGATTCTGTACCGGTTGCCCCTCTTCCAGGCCAGCCCTCTGCTGTGGCCAGGGAGTGCAGTGGAGGATGGCCCAGGTGCTTGGGCCCTGCACCCCATGGGAGACCAGGAAAAGCACCTGGCTCCTGGCTCCTGCCATCGGATCAGCGCGGTGCGCCGGCCGCGGCGGCCATTGGAGGGTGAACCAACGGCAAAGGAAGACCTTTCTCTCTGTCTCTCTCTCTCACTGTCCACTCTGCCTGTCAAAAAAAAAAAAAAAAAAGTGTACCTGGAATTTTCACCAAGATGGCACCAAAGGCAAAGCAGAAAGCTCCTGCCCTTCCTAAAGCCAAAGAGAACGCAAAGGCCTCATGCTGAAAGGTGTCCACAGCCACAATTGAAACAAGGATCCGCACATCTACTTTCTGTCGGCCCAGACACTAGGCCTCCTGGGAACAGTGCCCCCAGGCAAAACAAGCTTGACCACTGTGCCATCAACAAGCTCCCCCTGACCACTGTCTGCTGTGAAGAACACAGAAGACAACATCACACTTGAGTTCCAAGTGGATGTCAAGGCCAGCGAGCACCAGATCAAACAGCCTGTGAAGGAACTCTACACACTGACGTGGCCAAGGGCGATGTCCCAGCAAGGTCAATACTCTGGTCAGACCTGACCAAGAGAAGGAGGCATGTTTGACGGGCTCCTGACTATGATGCTTTGGATGTTGCCAACAAAACTGGCATCACCTAAACTGAGTCTGGCTAATTCTAGATATGTTTTTTCACCATAAAAAAAAAAGTGTATCTGGAGTTGGTGTGTGTGGCACAGTGGTTTCAAGTTGCCCCATTCCCATATGAGAGTACCTGTTCGAGTCCTGGCTACTTTGTTTCTTATCCAGCTTCCTACTAATACGCATCCTGGGAGGCAGCAGGTGATGGCTCCCTTACCTGCGGGAGACCCAAACTGAATACTGTGCTCCCGACGTCAGCCTGGCTGGGCCCTGGCTGTTGCAGGTATTTGGAGGGAGTGAATTAGTGGATAGAGCTCTCTTTCTCTCTCTCTTTCTGTTCTTTTCTGTTTTTCTTTCAAATAAAATGAAAATAAAAAATAATAAAGAAATCTATTCCTTTAAAAAAAGTATGTGTGTGCGTGGGTGTATCTATCTGTATTTCAGACCAGGAAGAACACATGGAGTGCTAGACCCCCGGTGGTCTTAATCAGGGTGGCACGGAGTTCTTTGATGAGCAAAGCTACACCTTTACTGGGTGTTGTTCGCGTCTGGAGAGCACTTACTGGTGCATTCCTGTACCTCTGCTATACCCACATAACATCAACACAGAGAGGCTGAGTGCTGATGTAATGTCTGGGGCCAGGCCATGCATTCAAGCCATTTTATTGGATTCACAAGGTACAAGTCAGCTCTTTTCTCCAGGGAATGGGATAGGATGCTTTTATTATCACAATTTGGGGAGGGGGCGGTTCTTGCCATTTATCAAGTTCAAAAGAAGAACCTGTGTAAGACTGCATTGCTCAGGACCACCAGTGCTCAGGCTTCTTAGGGAAACTTGATTACACTTTCTGCCCACCCCATCTCTCTTTCAGGAAGATGTAGGAGCTATGCAGGCCAGGCACAGAGAAGATCTGCAAATGACCAGGCTATCCATTTCCAGGCACACATGCCTGTTAGCTTGAAAGACTTTTTTCCCAGAAGGCTGACACACTCTGCTGGACTCACAACCTAGGACAAGAGCCATTTAAGGAATTGTAAAAGAGTGGGGACAAGAGCCAGTGCTGTCCTCCAAGTGTGTCCCAGAAGAGCTAGCAGGTGAAACACTGGCATTCTTTTTTAACCCTGCTAAGAGCCTGGCTCACTGAAGGCACAGAGGAGTGTGTAGAAGTAAGAAGGCACGATGTAGGCAGGCAGGCTTCAAGGAGAGAACAAAGCCAAACTCCAAGTACAATGCAGAAGCAAGGGGGAGAGCCTGGGCTTCCGGCAGCCTCCAGAGGAATGTGGTTCTACTGTAACATTCCTCAGTATAAGGTAAGAACAGAAGGTGGGCCGGCTTAAAAAAAAAAAAAAACACGGAAGTCTTTAGTGGAGCTAATTGTTTCCATTGGTACCCAGCCAAAGTGATGTCATTCTATCATCTGATCTCATGGAAGGAGTTATTAAAATCAAACAATTAAAATATTACACTAGAAATAAACAAGCCATATGGTACATACAAAATGAATAAAAGTCTCAGAGAGGGGACTGTCTGGCAAGATCATGAGAAAGTGTCTCCCACAGCATCCGGGGCGCAGCAGGTGCTCAGCAAAGCATCTGCATCGAGGGGATGGGCACAAGGTTAGAAGGAGCTCAGCAGGGGCCAGGAGGAAGGGATCTGTCTCCACTCATCCACAACTTAGTGGCCCACAGACCATGGAACCAAACAGGAGAAAAAATATCCTGCTGAAAGAAACAAAGAGGTTTCAAACTAGTGGCTGTTGAGAATAGGTATGGTGCGCAGATTTATTTCATTCATACAGTGAAGTATGGTTTGTTGCATAACTAAAAATCATGAGACATCACATAAAAAATCTACGTTGCCTTGAAAAAAACCAAAGGCCCCGGCCACCTAAGGCCCACATGGCAACAATGGGCTGGAACTCAACAGAAGCCGCCCTTTTAGATGGGACATCGGTTTTTCCAATTAACCACAGTTCCCATCACTTCCTATTGTTACTCTCAGCCCAATTCATTGACTGTCACTGCCTGTCTTGTTCCTATTAGCATCAAGTTATGAACATTTATAGAGTGAAATGAAATATTTATACTGAGAGCCTAGAAATTTGGGTTCCATTCTGGCGCAGGTTGTATATTTTGTGACTTGCCTAAACTAGCCTTTCTTAGTTTCAGTTTTGTCTGGTTTTTGTCAGCTTTGTACAAAATGATCTTTAATACTCTTGTAATTAGAACTCATCTACAAAGGTGGCAATGAGCATGGGGAAGACACAAATTGGGCTTAGCATATTTCACACTTCATTCCCTGAATCCAATTCCTTGAAATGTTAATTTCATTTTGAGGCTAATGAATTACCTATTGAGCCTAGAATAATCTTAAAAAAGTACAGGCTCTCTGGCACAGTATCGAGGTCCATTTGTGTGGACTGACTAATCTCATCGTAATTAAAAGCCAGAAGACTTGTCTCGCATAGATAGGATCCCTGACTGCTTTTCTTGTCCTTGTTCATTCCTATTATGGAAATTCTCAGATTCCTCTCTGGGATGGTTACCCAAGCTATGACTAAATGAAGAGTTCCAGAGCACAGTCTCAGGCTGGGGGAGTTCTCAGGGCACCCAGGAACAAGGTCAAACATAATGATCAATATAAGGAAAGGGTAGGCTCTGGAATTTGAAACAGGCAAAAAGATCTTGTCTAGACCGGAGAATACAACATGCCAGTTCTGCAGATCATACTGTGACTGTGGTAGCTGCTGCTCTAGCCCTGTGTGTGCAGTCACAGCCTGTAAATCACCTTTAAGAGACATGTTCCAGGGCTGGGACATGTACAGGGCTGGCCTCTTGTATTAACACTTAAAAGCCATAAGCCCACTAGATTACTTTCACTGTAAATCCATTATTTAATTCATCTCACTAAAGCCCCCTGGAATTTCTGTAGGAAAAATGATATGTATCTACCCTAATTTACAGTTAGAGATGCCTTAAGCCCAGGGAGCTTAATACCATACATTGACTGAAGTATTCAAGATTCACTTCAATAAATATTGTGTTCTCACTGCATGCCAGCATTTGGATACAAGACAATGATGAGTTTAGCTACATTTCTTAGTCCCCAAGGAATGAAAAACATACAAACAAATATACAGAAATCTCTGAATTCCTATTCCCTACATTATATGCCTATGATAATCCATCTGGGGACTAAGAACAGACTTTTAAGACTTAATAACTGGCCGGCGCCGCGGCTCAATAGGCTAATCCTCCGCCTTGCGGCACTAGCACACAGGGTTCTAGTCCCGGTTGGGGCGCCGGACTCTGTCCTGGTTGCCCCTCTTCCAGGCCAGCCCTCTGCTATAGCCCAGGAGTGCAGTGGAGGATGGCCCAAGTGCTTGGGCCCTGCACCCACATGGGAGACCAGGAGAAGCACCTGGCTCCTGGCTTCGGATCAGCACGATACGCCGGCCACAGCGCGCTGGCCGCGGCGGCCATTGGAGGGTGAACCAACGGCAAAAAGAAGACCTTTCTCTCTGTCTCTCTCTCACTGTACACGCTGCCTGTCCCCCCCCCCCCAAAAAAAAAGACTTAATAACTGATCCTCCTTCATCCAAAACCACTTATTCCAAGAAAAATGCAGTGTGGTATGTCAGAGAGAATATAATGCCCATAAACTCCTCCCATAGGACAAAAACCACAAATAATAAGTTGGTCAAATATGAATAGAGAAAATCAAGCCACTCAATATTTTTATCATTATGTATAACATTAAAGACAAAAATCACTTCATCTTCAATGTTCATACACAGGACCAATACAAAACACCTTGTGTGGTCCTGCCTGTGGCAATACTTGCCCCGGTGCTTCTGGGCAAAATGGGTAACGACAACTGAGATCAGACACCTTCTACCTGGGACACGTTTCCCCTCAGGGGACATTCGGCCATTTCTGGAGACTTTTTTGGTTGTCCACAGGACAACTGAGGATATTCCTGGCATCTAGTGGCGCCAGGGAAGCTGCTGACCAACCAACAATGCACAGGAAAGTCCCACACGACACGGGGTCATCCAGCCAAAATGTGAGTGGTGCTAAGGCTAAGGAACGTGGTCTAGGTGCAGGCATTTTGGCTAGAGACCTTTGTTTGGCGTCTTCCAGGCACTCTGTGCAATGAAGCTCAGGCTCCCATCCACAACCTGAAGGAACACCCATTTCCCTGACTTCTTTCACTTGTCCCTCAACCCCTGTGTTTCTGGCAATAAAGCCAAAAAGACCACTACATTTACTGTATGTTCCTTATTACTCATGAACTATGAATCACATGCATAAGAGGTTGAAAGAGGGTAGCAAATCAATAGAAAGAGGAAAGGAAAAAATAAGAAAGAGGGGTGGTGAGGAGGGCCTTGGTTCCCATTTCCACAGCCAAATGAAGCTAAACCAATCATTCCATGTAACAGGCAGTTATCTGCTCTCTTGTAAATCTGATATTCTCCAGAAACTACTTCTTCCCACTCAAGAAACAAAGGGCCTGAAGCAGCATACATGAAAATTAAAACCAAGTCATTGGAAAGGCGCTTGGTGCAGTGGTTAACATGCTGCTTGGAGTACCCACACCTCATTTGGGAATGTCAGATTTGAGTCCTGGCTGCTCTGCTTCCATTCCAGTTTCCTGCTAATGTGCACCCTGGGAGGCAGCAGCTGATGGCTCAAGTACTTGTATCACTGACACCCGTGTGGGAGACCAAGAAAAAGCACCAGGCTCCTGGCTTTGGCCTAGACCAGCCCTGGCTATTGCAGGCATTTGGGAAGTGAACAAGCAGATGGAAGATCTCTCTGTGTCCGTCTCTCTGTGTGTCTCTCTTTCGAATAAATTGAAAACAAATAAATAAAAATGTTTTTAAAAAGTCACTCAGGTACTATGTGGTCTCTTAGACATGGCTCATGAATATGTAACTGAGGCCACCTAGTGGTCGGCAGTGTGAATCTCAGCTCAGTAAGCCCTAGGATTTTAACTTCAGTATAAGTTCTGAATTTAGATACAGTCTCTATTTATAAAAGGGGAAATTCCTAGCTTGGAAAACTTAAAGGGATATTCTTACCTTTGTATATGCAGCTAAGTTCTAACTAGTATTTATCCTGTTCCTACTACATATGCCAATGCTTAAACTACAACATTTAGGGAGCCTCTAGCAACCTCAGTCTACAGGCAGAAAGAAAGAAAGACAGAAAGAAAGACAGAAAGAAAGAAAGACAGAAAGAAAGACAGACAGACAGAAAGAAAGAAAGAAATCCTAGCTTCCTTCAAAAATATGGTGTTGGCAGATTCCCAAAGAATTGTTCCTTTTATGTATTAGGCCCCAAAATAACTCTAAAGAGGTGGAGTACAGCCTGTAAAAATTATATGTCACAACTTGACACATTTGATAGGTCCAAAGATATAAGAAAACTTAAGCATTAGTAAGAGACTAAGGTTTTCTCTTTTCCGATGTAGATGTAAAGGTCTGTTGTGCTGGGAGTGCACAGGGAGCTAGTGGTCCCGACACCAGTTAGAATGCCTAAGTCTCTCATCAGAGAGGGGAGGTCTGACGCCCAGCTCTACTCCTGACTCCAGCTTCCTGCTAACACAGACCCTGGGAGGCAAAGGAGATGGTTCAAGTAGCTGGGTCTCTGCCATCCATGGGGTAGACTTGGGTTAAGGTCCCAGCTCCCAGCTTTAGTCTGGCCCCATCCTGGCCATTGGGAAGTGAGACAGCAGATGGGAGTGTGCTCTCTCGCTCGCTCTCTGCCTTTGAAATAACTTTTTTTAGAAAAGATGATTTTACTTATATATTTTGAAACAGTTACAGAGAAAGAGGGAGAGACCTTCTATCTGGTGGTTCACTCCCCAGATGGTCACAACAGCCAGCACTGGGCCAGGCTGAAGCCAGGAACTTCTTCCAGGTCTCCCATGTGGGTAGCAGGGCCCCAAATATTTGGGCCATCTCCCACTGCTTTTCCCAGGCCATTAGCAGGTAGCTGGATCATTTGTGGAACAGCTGGGGCTTGAACCGGCACCCACATGGGATGTCAGGTCAGAGGCAGGAGCTTTATGGGCTAAGCCACAGCACCAGCCCTGATAACATTTTTTTTTTTTTAATTAAGACTTGTTATGCTCAAGAAGAAAAAAATTCTATTTGTTGATTTGGTCAATCTTTATATTTGCCTTTAGTCAGCTCAATTACTCAGACCGGTCACCAACATCCACTTCAGAAATTCCTTCGCTAAGAAGATAGGTGCAAGAATGCCAAGTATGTTTTAAAATGGGCAGTTCTGAGTGTACATCAGAGAAAAGGCTGCAAACTTACCTCTGGGCTCTCCAATCCCAGTTGTGATGCTGGCCAGAGTTAGCATCTGGTTCTCTCTCAATATAACTGCTCAACCCATTTCAGTCAAGAAAAAGTTGCCATTCCAAGATGCCCCTTAGGATTAAGATGCATGTCTCCTGGATGGTACCTAGGGCATTTATTCAACTTTGGGTTTTACTGACACACCCAAAAATGTCTTGCTGGCATGCTAATTTTCCATGGACTTCCTCCTCTCTTTTGAAATGACACGCTCTCGGAATCAAAATCTGTTCATAAACGTGGCAGAGTCAGGTTCCTTAAAACCACACTGGCCAGCCTCTGGTTATCACGTGTGCCTCACATTCACCCGGTGTCAGCTTCGAAGAACAAACTCACTTTTAAGCCAAAAGGTCCCCAGATACCCACTGAGAAGGCAGGCCAGTATGGAAACAGTCAGAGAGGAGAGCACGTGAAGGATGCAGGATACAGCAGGCAGAGCACTCACCTGGTCACGGTCTCCTGCAAAGCAGCAGCTCTTCATGGTGCACGAGTTAAAGTAACCCTGATTGTCAAACTGGAACACGGGCAGGCGGGAGTGGATGTCATAGAGCACAGGGGGCAGCCGACGCCTCAGGGCCAGGAGCTGGGTCCCATTGCTGTTGAATCGCACACTCATGGCACTCTGGAGGGACAGGTTGCCACCATAGCGCAGGAGAGAACTGAGGGGCAGAAAGCACAGGGATCAGGCTTGGGGCTGCCAGACCACAGCAGAAAACACATGGATTTGTTTCTTCCAGTGTCCTGGACCTTTCAGGCTTACATACCTCAGTTGTAGCAAAGGGGTAATGACGTGGGTAGGAATGCCTCCTGGCCACATTAAGTAAGTTCCTTAAATTGTCAGCCCCCCTTTTCAATCTCTAAAAAGTGAACTACATTTAAATTTACAAGAAAATAACAAAAATATCTTGAAAAAAAAAAAAAAAAAAGACATATTATTTGTTACTTTGTTTACTCAAGTAGATGGCACAGCTCATCAAGACCCTGGGATCTGAGTCCTGTCCACTCTTTCTTATTTAAAGATTTATTTTATTTATTTGAAAGACAAAGTTACATAGAGGTGTAGATACAGAGAGAGAAAAAATCTTCCATCCGCTGGTTCACTTTCTAAATGCCCACAAAACCAGGAGCTTCTTCTAGGTCTTCCACGTGGGTGCTGGGGCCCAAGGATTTGGGTTGATCTCTGCTGCTATCTCAGGCACATTAGCAGGGAGCTGGATTGGAAGTGGAGCAACCAGGACTTAAACCAGTGCCCATATGGGATGCCAGTGCCGCAGGCCAGGGTTTTAACCCACTGGGCCACAGCACTGGCCTCAGAGTCCACTCTGACAGGCAAACCATGGATAGTATTCAGGCAGTTTGTTTATCCTTTGTATTAGAGATACAATAACCATCAGCAAAATAACACTTTGTTTATTCTGGATATTTTTGCAGTAACAGTCATTTTAGTACTTAAGCATAACAAATGTTTATTTGTTAAATGCCTGTCCCTCCATATCTTTATTTTCATTGTTTCCTAGTATGCACTATGACTCTAATTAGGCCAGTTTCCTTCCTGCCTTCCATATTCACTGCAATAGTTTGTGTTTTTTTTTTTTTTTTTTTTTTTTTAATTTGAAAGGCAGAGTTACAGAGAGGGAGAGAAAGACCTTCCACCCAATGGTTTGCTCCCCAAATGGCTACAATGGCCAGGGCTAGGCTGGGCTAAACCAGGAGCCAGGAGCTTACTCCAGGTCTCCCACATGGGTGGCAGGGGCCCAATCACTTGGGTCATCCTCCGTTGCTTTCCCAGGCCGTTAGCAGGGAGCTGGATCGGAAGTAGAGCAGCTGGGATTTAAACAGGTACCCACATTGGATAGCAGCATCGCAGGCAGTGGCTTAGCCTGCTGTCCCATGATGCCAGCCCCCACAAGCATATTCACAATTTTTATATTCCACATGGTTTAAGTAGACAGTAGATATTAAAGCTAATTTTTAAATTTAAATGCATAGCAGTGTTACATTTGAAAAAGGGAGATGACTTATTTCCATTTAACAATTTTAACTCAAGTTAAAATTGACCTTAACTCAAGTTTGTATTTAACTTTGAAATATACTTTGGTTAATACATTTAATTTCTTTAAGTTTTTATTTAATGAATGCATTTTTTCATAGATACAACTTTAAGAATATAGTGGTTCTTCCCCCAATAAACTCTCCCACCCCGATTCCATCCCATCTCCCTCTCCCTCTCCCATCTCCTTCTTCATTATGGTTTATTTTTAGTTTGATTTTATATACAGAGGACCAATTCCATGCTAAGCACAGATTTCAACAGTTTGCACCCACATACATACAACATATAGAGCGTAGTTTGAGAACAAGATTTGCAGTTGATTCTTAGTTCTAAGGGTACAGCCTAAAAACTTGTCATAGGACTCCAAACCCATTAAAATTGGTGGTATAAATGCCATCTTAACTGTTAAAATGATAGTATTAGATGTTAAAGTCAACACATAGATAGGTCTAGGTGTAAAAGTGATCATATAAATAACATCAAGTGCCTGGTAATAATAATAGAATTAAAAAGGAGAGAAGCAGTCCTCACAGCAGACTCCTAGAATGACTTCCGCAGTAAGTAACACTCTGACCTCAGAATCAACCCTTGAGGCTTCCTGGTCTGCTGAAAGGCCTGTGAGAGCATTTCAGGCATGGAAAGCCAAGACTCTGTGGCAAAAAAAAAAAAAAAAAAAAAAAAAAAAAAAATCCAGCTCTCTGCTATGGCCTGGGAAAGCAGTGGAGGATGGTCCAAGTCCTTGGGTCTCTGTACCCACATGGGAGACCTGGAAGAAGCTCCTGGATCCTGGTTTCGGATCAACCCAGTTCCGACCACTGCACCCAACTGGGGAATGAATGAGCAGATTGAAATCCTCTCTCTCTGCCACTCCCTCTGTCTCTGTAACTTTGCTTTTCAAACAAATAAATACATCTTTAAAAAAAATAAGACATGGGGGCCAGTGCTGTGGTACAGCAGGTTAACGCCCAGGCCTGAAGTGCTGGTATCCCATATGGACACCGGTTCTTATCCCGGCTGCTCCACTTCTGATCCAGCTCTCTGCTATGGCCTGGGAAAGTGGTGGAAGATGGCCCTAGTCCTTGGGCCCCTGCACCCATGTGGGAGACCCAGAAAAAACTCCTAGCTCCTGGCTTTGGATCAGCATAGCTCTGGCCATTGCAGCCATTTGGGAAGTGAACTATCAGATGCAGGACTTCTCTCTCTTTCTGCCTCTCCTCTGTGTAACTCTGACTTTCAAATAAATAAATAAACCTTTTTTTTTTTTAAGAAATGATGCCATTTATTTTGTTAGATTTTTAATTTCATTGAGATAATACATTTAATTTCATCTAGCCTCACTAAGGAGTGGTCTTTTCTAGTTCACCTAATCCACTTCTGTAGTTTCATAATGTTCCTAATATGTTTTAAAAAGTCACACAGTATGATTCTAAATAACTGTTAATTTTACTATTTTATTTAAAAGGCAGAAATCTGCTGGTTTACTCTCTATCATATCACAGAGAGATGACTGTTCATTGCCTACCCTAAGTCATAAGCAAGTTCTGTTTCGTGTCTGGGGTTTAACGTGAGATGATTCCACAGAAACTGGTGCCTCATCAGAACCCAATTACACGCAGCCTCACACAGACGCTGTGTCATGGAATGGACATGACTCCAGCAGTATCGGAGAAAAAAAGTTTATAGACTCAAGAAAATCAATGGGCTGGAAATGGCTTCAAGATACCTGCATCAGAATCTGGCACATTTATCTGAGATGTTTTTAAGGAAGCAGTTTTAATAGCATTTTATCCAAGTGAAAAATTAAAGAGCCAGAGGTTACCAAAAGAGATTTAATACTGAACAGCAACATTTTCTTTCTTTCTTCTTTTGGCAAGGGAGTGATGGGGGAAGACTAAAGGGACAAGAAAGGAGATATCCCAAGGAAGAAACAGCCCCGAGCCCCAGTGCAGAGCAGCACCAACCTAGCTTGGTCATCAAAACCGGGCACCAGCCACAGTCAGTCCTGTGTGACTCCCACCACATGCAGCCTTCCCAGGAAGGGGAAGAAAGTTCTGGTCCTGCAGCAATGTGTAAAAACAAGCCTTGCACAAAACAGCCTTTAACTGTCTTATGATTACAATGAGAAGAAAGAAAAAGATTTAGAAAACCATCCTGGAACTCTAGACATCAAGAAGTCGGGCATTCCTATAGAGAAATGTTCTTAGAATGGCCCTAAACACGGGCCGCACTTCTTCACATACACAGAATGGATGACAGGGCTGTCAGAGCCCAGACGCTTCCTTTACCAGGTGACCTGGCTGGCAGAGGCAGGTGGTGCTATCTAAACACTGAGCTCAAAAACAATGAATGAGAGGCTTTCAATCTAAGGTCAGCGTGAAGTATGCAAATAAACCAGCATCCGTAGGACTGACTGGTGGGAAATGGGAACCAGACTCAACAGAGAGAAACTTGGCCAGCCCAGCCACAGCAGCAGGGGCTTGCGGCAACTCAGGCATCCCTGACAGAAAAGCTGGCACCTCGAGTGGCAAACACCTTTCCATCTGTCGGCAGAACCTCCTCTGCCCATTCTAGTCACACCTGCAGAGGAGTCCACTCCTAACAGACCCAAGGGCTCATTCCATCCCGACTCAGGTCCACTGACATGGGTCTGTTTGTAGGCTCCAGGATGGTCACTTTTCTTTTGCCTATGTTTCTGGACAAGGAAATTCGACCTCTCACACAAAGAAGGTGCATGGAAATCTTGCTCCCAGGATGCCAGGGGTGCTGGCAAAATAACAGCAGCTACTAGCACCAAAGATTTCATGTTTAGGTGTAAGACTCAATTCTGTCCAGAGGGGTGGAATGACACCTGAAATACAGGCAGTGCACAACATTAACTGATTTTCTTTTAGCCAGGGTCCTGCAGGGCCCCTTCTGGTAATAATGATCTAGTTTGCCAGGGACAGAAGCAGTTTGTCCTCACAGTCAAGATACAAAGATAATATCAAAGATTCTGTACTTTGTGGTTTGAAGTGTAATGTGCATGAGATATCATCTAGGACTTTTTAAAAATGTAGATTCTCAGGATCCACCCCCAGATATTCTAATTCAATCTGGGAAGTAGGCCCAAGGTATCTGAATTTAACAAGCAACCCCAGTTAATTCTGGTGCAGGTGATTTTCAAACCTCACTTTGAGAAACATGATTTTATTCTGGAATTTGGGAGGAGGGAAGAAATAAAGTGGAAGAGATAGGGCCGGTGCTGTGGTATAGTGGGTAAAGCTGCTGCTTGCAATGCCAGCAACCCATATGGACACTGGTTTGCATCCCAGCTGCTCCACTTCTGATCCAGCTCCCCGCTAATGGCCTGGGAAAAGTGTCGGAAGATGGCCCAAGTGCTCCCTCAT